CCTCCAGTGTGGCTGTGGGGCACCCGGAGCAGTGGGGCCAGGCGGGCCCCTGCCCACTCCAGGGTGGTCTCCCTCTCATCTCCCTCAGGCCTCTCCTGTGACCCTGCTGGGCACAGTTGCCTGTTACAGCGGGCTCCTGGCCATCAGCTGCAGAGGAGGCTCCCTGCTCCTGCAGGCTCTGAGCATGCCCATCCCGGCAAGGACCAGACCTGCAGCGACTTTGTGGGCCTGCCCATCCCGCTGGACGGGCCTCAAGGCGGGCCTGGCCCTGCTGGGTGTCCGCCAAGCCCAGAGCGTGTGCAGGCTGCTCCCCAGAGGGCGGGGCCTGCTGGCTGCTGGCTCAGCTGCCTGGTTCAGGTGATGGCCATCGGGGAGGTGGAAAGCCCAGTCCTGGTGAGGCAGCTCCCCCGAGTCCAAGGGCTCTGCGTCCCCTGTTCCCTGGGACTGAAGCCAGCCCCTGCAGCTCCCCTCTCTGTTGACCAGAGCAGTAGTCTTGGCCCTGGGATGGGGCTCCCTGCGGGGTGGAAATCACCAGCGCACGGAGAAGACCCCAGCAGACCCCACTGCCCACCCCAGAGTAGGAACCCAGGCTCAGACTGGCCCCAAGCCCATCAGGCAAAGAAAATGGCTGACAGTGCCCTGGAGCTGGCTGGGATCTACTGCTGGCCAGGTCAGGTGGCCACAGAGAGGAAGCACCCTGCTGCTGGGGCACCCACTGCCCGCCATGGGGAAGGATACACAGAGCCACAGTCACCTGACCCTCCCTCTGCCCCCAGCTGTGCCCGGGCCTGAGCAGGAAGGCAAGTGCCCTGTGTACAGCAAACCCAAGTCACAGGGGCCAGCAGGGGGGAGACTGGGGAAGCAGGCTGGGTCTGGGTCACTGAAGGCCGGGGGCACTGGGCTATGGACCCCTCTGCTTCCCACAAGATCCATGACTCAGGGTCAGGGTTGGGGTCAGGGATTTTGTGGAAATTCTGCCACTTCCCACAGGAGTCCGGGTGGAATTGACAGCCCCTGTCCCAGTCCAGGGCCAGATGTGACCCAGGCCTGGCAGCTGGACACTTCCTGCCCCCAACCACAGCTGGGTCAGAGAAGGATGTGACACAGAAGCTGCCCCGGCCCCGCCCCAGGATATCCTCACCCCTCCCAGAAACTACCTGGAAAGACTGGTGTTCTTTCACTGTCAGACTGAAATGATGGTGTGTAGGCAGGCATCTGTGGAAGTCATCCTGCAGTGGCTCCTGGGCAGTCTACATGAAGGGAAATTCATCAGAGCAGAACACAGATCCACAGATGGACAGACTCCTGGATTTAGCCATGCCTGAAACCAGCAGACCTCGCTGGAAGTCTCAGTCACACAAATCAGCAAACCTCCCAGTGCCCTAGCCAGTTTGGGCTCGAGTGGCACTCTGAAGGCTCATCACCAACCAGGGACTGAGTTCCAACCTGGGTCAACCCCAGGCGGACAGAGCTATCAGAGGCAAGACAAGAATGGAGAGCATGAATCCCAAGACCAGGTTGAGTGGAGGAAAGAGAAGTCAAAACCGTCCTGGGGAGTTGGCGGCTGGGGTGCAACTGGGTGGATCAGACCAGCCACCTCTAGGTTCCCAGGACCGGGAGACCCTGCTCACAGCAGCACACGCTGGCCTTTTAACGGTCTGGACAGGGTTTGTGGTCACACTGGCTCCACCCCACCTGGGTCATTTTAAATTCCTGCTCCAGTCAGTCGTCTGTAGGGGACACGTTGGGGCTGGTGCCAACGTGGTTTCTCCAGCTCCTGAGTAGAGGGGCCATGCCCCATGATTCGGTGGCTATGCCAGAGCCCAGGAAACAGGAAGCAGAGCTCATGAGTCCATTTTGCATGGGAGAAAGCTGAGGCTGTGAATGGGGCCTGGAGTTGCCTGCAGGAGGCAGGGAGTGGGTGTGAGTGGCCACACTCAGGTCAGAACTGCCCTTCCCAGGGGTCACACACCCAGGCACACAGTCTGGCTGTGGCCAGGATCCGTCTCTTTCCTTCCCTGAGCTTCTACGTATAAACTACAGGAAATCACAATCCTGAGTGCTCTTCAGAAATTCAAGACCTTCTGTGTTCAACTCTGCATCAAAGAGTGCATTAAGCTGGGGTAGGGGCTCAAACCTGTAATCCCACTGATTTGGTAATCTGAGATGGGGGTAGCAATTTTGAGGTCACCTGGACAACTTAGTGAGACCCTATCTAAAAATAAATAAAATAAAATAAAAATAAAAAGGTCTCAATACATTTTAAATCCCCAGAACTGGGGAAAAAACTTTTTTCATTCAAATTTACTCTTTCATTTTATAGCGCAGTGGCTTTGGTGCAAAGACAGATAACAAGCACTTACTACAGGATGATTTTTTACATAAATCAGTGATTCATCAGAGACCCAGATTCATGAGTTAGGTTTTGTTTTCTCTGTTCAACAGATGCCACAGCAGATGGTCCACAGGCCTCTTAGCGTTTCACAGTGTGCTCAGTAGTTTTGGACTGTAAGATTGTCCTCACAAAATGATTTTGGGAAATATATCCTCATTTTCTGTATTTTGGACAGGTTTGTGTAAAACCAAAGATATTTCTTCAACTATTTAGAGTAATTCCTCAATGAAACAATCTAAAACTAAAATTGTCATTTTGAGAAGATTTCAAATCATGCGCTGAATTTATTTAATGATATAGGACTCTCCAGGTGCTCAGCCTCTTCTAATGTCAGTTTTATGTTGTGTTCATCTAGAATGTTCAACATCAAGTTGTTGACGCCCTCTTCTTCTGACCCTTTCCGTGCCTGCAGCATGTATAATGATGTTCTTTGTTCACTCCTGACAGTGGAATTGTGTTTTCTTTTACTCAATCTTTCCTATCAATTATATTGATCTCATCAAAGAACCAACTTTCATCTTCGTTGAATTTCTCAGATTTTTTTTTTAGAAAAGTCTTTGTTATTGTTTTCTGCTTTTTCTTTACTTTCAGCTCTTATGTCATCTTTGAGTTTGTCATTCTTTTCGTAGCTTTTTGAGTTGGAGCTTGAAGCACTAATTTTCAACTTTTTCTCTACAGCTAAAGTACCACTTTAGCACTTAAAGGATGTGTGATATTTTGCTTCTGTTCACTTGAACATATTTTACAACTTCCATCTCGATTATTTCACCCCTGATTATTTACAAGTATGGCATTTCACTTCCAAGCAAAATTAGTGACTTTCTAGTAGTTTTCCTGTAATTTAGCTTTAATTCAGAGAGGACACACTATAGGATTTCAATTCTTTGAAATTCGCTGTCACTTGTCTATGACCCAAGATATGGTCTATTTTTGGTAAATGCCCTATATGCACATGGAAAGGATATGCATTTTACAGTTGCTGACTCAAGTGTTTCATATACATGAATTAGATCAAATTGGTTAACTCTACTGCTCAAACTGTGTGAGATTGGTCCAAAGATAAAGAAATAGGTGAGTGGGATAGAACAGACCCTTACATATGATGCTTTCAATAAGTGATGCTGGGTTACTTGGAAATCCAAAAGGGCGAAATCGATCTCCGACCTCCGGCCACGCCATTTACAAGAACTTGTGATCCCTCGTGCATCTAACTGTGTACCCCAAGTCATTTAAGCTTCTAATAGGAAACAGAGAACACTCTAGTATAAAGCGGCGAACCGCAAAAGAAAACATTGATTGAAGAGACTGGACTTCATTAAGAACTCCTGTTCGTTAAAAGCCAACCCAGTGCGAGGTGTCTTTGCTACAGTAAAAATCTAAGTGTCCGACGCAGTCCTCGGACACGAGTCCCGGGGCACCCACCCAGCCAGCCAAGTGCCCGGCCCCGCGTGCCAGCGCCTCCCGGGACTCGCAGGGCCTCCTTAAGCCGGGAGGCTGGGGCGCTGGGGCCAAGGCTCCGGGCTCCGCCCCCGGGGG